ATACAAGGGAAACAGAAGCCCTACTCCTTATGGCTCCCCTGTAGAGCAAGTACTAGGGGAAGTCACCCTTTCCTTCCCTGCTGCTCCCGTTACCTCCAGTTTTCCACTCAGGGATGCTGCTCCCCCAGGAAAGATCTTCTCAATCTTCACCATTGGCTGCACTTTGGACTCTATTCCACCTGAAATGCTGATCCCTGAAAAGCATAATGGTGCTATGAGTGGTGGGGAAACAGGTAGGGGTGGGGAGTAACTGTGCCAACATTCAGAGGAGGTAGCCATGTTAGTCGGTTGCTGCAAAATAGCAAAAAGCCCAGTGGCACCTTTAAGACTTACAAACTTTATTGTAGCTTGAGCTTTTGAGAAAGACAGCTCTCTGTCAGATGCATGGAACTCCATGCATCTGACGAAGAGAGCTGTGTTTCTCGAAAGCTCATCCTACAATAAAGTTTGTTAGTCTTAAAGGTGCTACTGGGCTTTTTACTATTTTGTGGCAACATTATGAGTGCCAGCGCTATCATGCCCTCTGGACAGCTGCTGCACTAATGTGGTGAGACAGCAGAGGGTGCCTGGAAGTCTTGCATGTGACAAAGACAATTGTATGTCTTGGCAAGGCGAGGCTCAGGAGCCTTTCGACTTGGTGCAATGTACCACTTCATGATACCCATACTCTTGACCTGGATGGTCCCTGCTGCAGGCCGCCTGCGATGTTTGCAAGTACGCTTTGTGGGGCAGTGAGGACAACCTCCAGGATTGACTCTGATATCACATATACCCTGCAGCTCTGACAGGAATTCTGTGAAGGTTTTACATCTTTGGTTACATTTGGGCACAAATCAGTGGAGCTACACATCTTGTTATAAATATTTATTTTTTTAAAAAAACATTTACATGCCACTTTATCTCCTTAAACCAATGACACTCTGTGGTGCAGGAGCTTTGACATGCCGCCTTAGGAGCGCTGTTCTCCCAATGTGGCACCTGCCCCATGTTCCAGGAAAACGATCAGGGCCATTCTGCTTGGCAGGTGCTTCACACCTCGAAATGGCTGCCACTGCAGAGACTGGGGGATGAGTAAGCAGCCTCCCTGAGCTGAGGGTCTCATGCCAGGGGTGCAGGTAAAAGACCCATCCTCTCCAGCTTCCCCTACCCTTCTTCCCGGCCTCTGCATTCTCATCCCAACAGCCAGGCAAGTGCTGGGAGGAGAGCAGGCTGGCTGCAGGGAAGAAAGAAGAAACCCCACCACAGCACCACCACAACAGCCACCCAGGGAAAGAGCAAGCTGGCCACAGTGTGGTGGTGGTTTCACTCCCCTTCCTCCATGGCTGGGTTGCTTTTCTCCTTGTCCCTCATTCTGAGGACAGCAAGAAGGCAGAGAGGGAAGGCCTTCTTCTCATTCTAGACACACGCAGGTTGGCTAAGGGTTACGGCATTGGGGAAAGACAACCTTACATGCTCAGAAGTAATCTGGCAATTTTAAAAGGTCATAGTTATATATAATATAGTTATATCCTATATTATCACATTGAGTGGTTGGTGGGGTGGCACAAAGGCAATCAGTAGTCATGTTGCTCTTTTAGTTGATACTAACTGTGAATTTGGCTCTTCATGAACCGTAGGAGTACTATTGCCTCAGACTCAAGGTAGCTAACAAAGCAACATCACATTGCAAGGACACACACAAAAATCATTAACAGTCCATCAGCAAGATAAAAGCAATACATGGGTTTTAAAAGCACAAGCTAAAATGCAGCCATTCACTCTCCACTGAATGCCATCTGAAACAAAACTCTTGCATGCCTTCTGAAATACAGTGAGTGAAGGCATTCTCTATGACCACTCTGGTGGTGGTGGTGGTGGTGGTAGAAGAAGAAGAGATTGGATTTATACCTTGCCCTTCACTTGGAGTCTCAGAGCGGCTTACAGACTCTTTTCCCTTCCCCTCCCCTCCCCACAACAAACACCCTGTGAGGTAGGTGGTGCTGAGAGAGCTCTGAGAGAACTGTCCTTGAGAGAACAGCTCTGACAGAACTATGGCTTGCCCGAGGTCATTTAGCAGCTCCCAGTGGAGGATTGGGGAATCAAACCTGGTTCTCCCAGATTAGAGTCTGCACACTTAACCACTACACCAAACTTGCCTGGACCTACCACAGAAAGCTCCAGAGGCCTGGCCCTACCACAGAAAAAGCCTGTGATCTAACCTTTGCCATTCAGACAATCCTAAAAGAGGGCACCACAACAAGAAGGCTGTGTCTGAAGAGCGTAGCTGGTATTTGGGAATATACTGGGAGATGCTGTTTGATACATATGAGGTTACTACCACATTCAGTCACATTTTTATCACACCTTTCTAAGGTACTCCTGTTCAGCTTGGGGTCTTGGTGCCTCTACTTACCCCCCAAGACCATTGGGGTCTTGGTGCCTCTACTTGGTGACTCTACTTACCCAGGGACTGCTTGTTCTTGGGCAGGCGGACAGTGAGAAGCTTGTATTCCTCCTTAGTGTCACCAGTACCATTTTGGACCAGACCATCTGGGATTTCATCTCCCGTCTCTACTTGCACCCCCTTGCTAGTAGTTTGGACTTCCCTGAAGAGGTGTGAGAGCAAGGGCCTAGCTTTGCGTGGTCGGTTGATCACAGAGTACAGGGTGTCCTTGGCAGGCTGGGCCTCCCCATGTGGCCCCCGCAGTGTGGCTTTGCCGTGGCTAGACTTTGGTGTACGAGGCCTCCCTCGGCCAGGCCGTCCATCTCCCTGCTCTGACAGTTCCTTGGTAGGTGCTGTGGAGTTTATTGACATTTCTGTGGTCTTATTTAGCGGCCAGTTGGGATGCTTGCTGCTGGCTGCTGAGGAGGGACCACTTTGGGAAGTGTAAGCATCCACTGGCACATCAGGAAGAGGGGAGTAGCTTTGAGGGCGAGTCCGTCTAGGGCTGGAAGAGAGCTGCAGTCTTTTCATCCCATCATTCAGTTCTGCTGTCTCCTCTTCATTGGTCACTGGCTTCAGAAGGAAACCGCCCTTGAAATCTGCCATCAGAGTTACAGGATGTTACCATGACCATCATTTCCTTTCTAGCAGCTCTCTGATGGCAACATTTGGACATTAGGAAATTTTATTATAGAAAATATACCCAGTATCTGTATAACTGAAGTGATCTTGTTATGATGCTGAGAAAGTTGGACTTTGAGTGAATATTGGGCTCCACAAATACCAAATCGGGTTTTTTTTAATGGTTAATTTTGTTGACTGGAACTGTGATCAAGATTTGAGGTGGTCGTGCTGGTGCTGATGTGGTTTTCAAAACCAAATATAGCCCTCCACAGTGCCTACCAATCATTATTCCTATGACCCTCTGTTGTTCGTGACCCCTGAGTTGAGGAACTGTCTTCTGTCAAGTCAGACCAATGCCCCTCTATGTCAGTCCTATGCCCTGTAATTGGGATTGACTTTCCAGGGTATCAGAAAGAACCCTGAGGACTGGGATAATTTAACCGGAGATGCCAGAGGATCCAGGCTCCCCCTCCATTTCCTCTTCCCAACTAAAGCCTGCTAAAGTAGCCAAAGTTTGCAGAACAGTTCATTTATAAAATACTGCACACAAATTAATGTTATGTGTATATGTTCAATCTGAATAATTTATTCCAAAGGTACAATTCATTTTTTTGGTTACAGTTTATGGCTAACAAGTCAGAACCTGCAAGTACTTGTGTGTGTGTGTGTGTGTGTAATCTCATTCCCCCACTGTTTCCTCTGTCCCTTTTCTGAAAGCCCTCACAGCCTTTCCCCTTTTCCTGGTTCTTTCTCACTTTCCAACTCAACAGCCAACCTACATTTATCTGCTCTTTCAGGTTTTCCTCTCCTCCACAGCATGGCACATTTGTGTGGTGCTGGCCACTGGGCCAGGCCCACTTGCATGTGAAGGAACCCTCAAAGACCTGTGGGGAGGGCACCTCACTTTCCCCTGTATCCCCCCCTCCACACTATTTCCTCTGTCCCTCCTCCTGTCAATCCCCATATCCTCTCCCATTTTCCTGCCTCATTCTTACTTTCTCAGCCATTCACCAGCCTATCTTTTATCTGCCCCACCTTTCTTCACAAAGCGGCTTACATTATTCTCCTGTCCTCTTTTTTTCTCACAACAACACTGTGAGGTAGGTTAGGCTGAAAGCATGGCTGGCCCCAAATCACCTAGTGAGTTTCCACACCAAGATGGGGATTCAAACTAGGGTTCCTCAGAGCCTACTCTGAAGCTTTAACTGTTATACCACACTGGCTTTCTTAGCAAGCAGCCAGGCCTAGGTGAGGCATGCAAGTCAGGTGGTATCAAGTCACTCAATGGTTGCTGTCAGGCCTGGTTCTGATGAGTCTTCCCTCAAAGGCCAAAACAGCCCTGGAAAGGACCCTGCCCCCTCCCCCTGCCTTTTACTCACAGAAACCAAGCCTTGGAATGCTGTGGTTGCATAGCAATGACCACTGAAGGAATCCATTTGTTAAAGCTATAGGTGTTCCTTTTATCATTTGGGGGGTTTTCAAATCCCAAGGGTTTTTTTTTTAGATTTTTCTGCAAACCTGGGACATTGTTTAGGTTTGTAGAAAGATCTGTCTTGCCCATTCACAACTCCAGTTTCAAGTATCCTCAGATTTGGTCAGCTTTGCAATTAGAATATAAGATTCCAAATTCTTCTTTTCATAAAATGAGGAAGAGAAGGGACCACAAGGTAGGGAACTAACCAGGCACTGGAGTGATAAGATGTCTCTTGGGAGGTGTTTCATGTTGTGCTGAGCGGAGAGCAGGTGACCTCACTGTAAACAAAAAACAAAAAAAAACAATTAGTGAAGTGATGGTTCCTTTGTTTTCTTTTGCATATGCTGGCCCTGCTCCCTGGTCACTTTCTTTCAGTACTAGTTAATTAATTTTATTTCAAGCTGCCAAAGCTTAAGATGTCTGGAGGTTGTGTCACTCTTCTGCAGAAGCTCAACCTGCTAACACTACATGCACAGAGGCAAGGTGTGCTTAGAAAAATGCACCTTTTGCGTGCTCAGAATCACAATGTGCTTGTTTACTTCTTGGCTCAGGTTCTAGCAGGAGCTCAATGGGTTGAAATCAGCAGGGGTAAACAGGGAAGTTAAAAGTGCCCAGGGGCAAGCCAAACTGAATGGCACCTGTAATAGCTACAAGTCAGCAGTTCAGAGCTACTCAGCTCAGACATGGCCAGTAGTGCCAACAGTGGGTATTGGCTCACTGCCTCCTAAGAACATAAGAGAAGCCAAGTTGGATCAGACCAATGGCCCATCCAGCCCAACACTCCGTGTCACACAGTAGCCAAAACCCAGGTGCCATCAGGAGGTCCACCAGCAAGGCCAGAACTACAGAAGCCCTCCTGCTGTTGCCCTACAGGCACCAAGAATACTGAGCATCACTGTGCCAGACATAGTGTTCCATCTATGCCTTGTGGCTAATAGCCACTGGTGGACCTCCGCTCCATATGTTTATCCAGTCCCCTCTTGAAGCTGTCTATGCTTGCAGCTGCCACCACGTCCTGCCGCAGTGAATTCCCTGTGTTAATTACTCTTTGCATGAAGAAGCCCTTGTTTTTATCTGTTCTAAGCCTACTGCTCATTAATTTCATTGGGGGTCCACAAGTTCTTGTACTGTGAGAAAGGGAGAAAGTACTTATTTCTCTATCTTCTCTATCCCATGCGTAATTTTGTATATCTCTATCATGTCACTCCTCAACCATCATTTTGCCAAGCTAAAGAGCCTTAACCTCTTTAACCTTTCTTCATAGGGAAGGCGTTCCATCCCCTTAGTCATTTTAGTTGCCCTTTTCTTTACTTTTTCCAGTGCTGTAATATCTTTTTTGAGGTGTGGTGACCAGAATGTACACAATATTCCAAATGGGACTGTACCATTGATTTATACAGGGGCGTTATGATCCTGGCTCCTGCACCACCACCAAGGGAGTCAGTGGGACTTGGCTCTGCTTGACCCTGGCCCTTCAGGGCAGTGGCCCATTACGAAATTTCCCTGTAAATCAAATGGCCAGGCTGCCCCTGAAAACAAGGCTGGCCCTAGGGGCCAGTTACAGTTTTAACTGTAAGGATTGGTTTTAAATTGTGATGCTGATTTTATTGTATATCTGCCCTGCTGGAAAGTCACTCTGAGCCCTGCCTGGCAGAGAAAGGAGTGGGATAAAAATGGAATAAATAAATAAGGCTGGGCATTTGCCAGGGCTCCTGGATCGGCAATGTCGCCATCCCCCTTACTTTACTGGGAGCACCCAAGAAGTTCAGAGAGCTGCGGTGGCTCAAGTGGTTAAGACGCTGAACTGCAGGCTGTGGAAGGTTGGTAGTTCAGCAGTTCGAGACCCGGGTGCCGCATGACAGAGTGAGCTCCCGTCTCTAGTTCCAGCTCCTGCCAACCTAGCAGTTCGAAAGCAAAGAAATTGCAAGTAGATAAATAGGTACCACTTCGGTGGGAAGGTAACAGTGTTCCGTGCGCCTTGGTGTTTACTCATGCCGGCCACATGACCACGGAGGCTCTTCGGCTTTGAAACGGAGATGAGCACCGCAACCCTAGAGTCGGATTCGACTGGCTTTCGAGCAAGGGAAACCTTTACCTTTACCTAAGAAGTTCAGAGGAAGTAGGGGAGAATCCTCATTTGGCACTTGTGGTGTCTGATACAAGAGCTCCCAAAGTCACACAGCTGGCACTGGTTGGAGGGCTCAGATGACACCTTTCCAGTGCTTGCCAAAGCTCCCCTTTAATGGGTGGTTTCTTCACAGCACCCTCCTCTGTCTGAGTGGGGGCCACATCATCATAGTAGCTGGGAGTAAGGGGCTGTCAATGTGATGTATGCCTGACAGGTTGAGAGTGGCACATATGCCCCTTTTGGCCCGAGGCAACACCATTACCAAAGGCATTCAGCAAGGTGCACTGGCCAGGCCAAAAACACTGCAAGAAAGACTGACCCGTCTAGGTGTGTTAAGGAGTGTAAAATGGAAATGCCATTTGGAATCAGTAGTTTAAACTATCCCCCAAACTGCTGATTAAACTGAGATTTTTTGGTCCTAGTTTTGTTTTCATTAATAGATGTGCTTTTCCTGCTGGCAAACTTAGATAGAACATTTCCCACCAACGCTATTCTACAGCCGGAAAATAAGAGAGGCCTTGGCACATTTACCACTCCCAGAATACAGAGGGCCCAAATGGCTGCCTTCTGTCAGGGAGCCTCCCTGATACCTTCCCCACCTGTTCTGCTCTTCAGCGTGTCGTAGGCTTCCAGCTCCATGGGTATAACCATGCTGTCGAAACGGCCCAGATCCGCGGGGGAGATCACACTCCTGCGAAAACGTTAAGAGGAGTTCTTGGCACTTGTTGAATAATTGGCTGAGATAGCGGGGGGGGGGGGGGGGGTTTGCACAGGCTGAGCTAAAGTTGTGATGAAGGGGGAAGCTGTAGCTGCAGATGTGGGGGCCACTGTTCCCTCTAAGCTGAGTCAGTGTGAGCTAGCTCACAGTTTTTTAGCCGCTGGCTCACACGTTTTTGTCTCAGCTCAGGAGGGATGGCTCCAGAGCAAACTAATTTATGCAGCAGCCAAACTGCTCACTCACCACTTTAATACCAGCAGCTCACAAAGTAGAATTTTTGCTCACAAGACCCCGCAGCTTAGAGGGAGTGTTGGTGGGGGCCCCTGGCAGTGTGACCCCCATGCATTGCTGGCCCGCCAAAGATGGACAGTTTCTTGATGCCGAACTTAGTGCGGACACCCGATCGGCATAGCCCGCTGCAGCCCAGAACTCCTGAGCCCGGCTAGGCGGGATACAAATCTAAAGTAAATAAATAAATAACTCCTGAGTTTTGGAATTGCTGAGGTGCCAAGGCATTCAGCCCTGTTTTCAATGCATTAAACAGATATTCATCTAACTCACTAGACTCCGACTGTGTGTTTCTAATTCGGCTAAGGGGTCACGCAGGCACAGATTTGTGCATCACTCTGACTGTCAGGTGCAGTGTCATTCAGATTTTCAAAGAGACCCATCTTAGATCATTACCACAGAGCTTTAGGATGCTCTTATTGTGCTATTGATTGCTCCCAGTTTTGTTCCCTTCCCCTTTTGTGGCTGCAAAGACTATGTATGGCCTTTTCTTTATACAGAGTGGCATTAACTTCTGTTTAGGCAAGAAGTAAACCCCACAGTGAAACTGGGACGCATATGCTAAGCTGAAATTTTGGCAAGATTACCCAGTCCCTTCCCTGTAGTAGCTATCCAGGGTATTTGGGGACCTGTCCCCTACAGTAGTCACAATGACACTTTCCTGCCTGTTCCCTTCTATTCTCACCTAATATCTCGGATAAGCAGCAATTTCTCAGGCCGGTCAAGAATCGCCAGCAGTGGCCTCACCAGATCTTCGACCCCTCCTTCACGGATGTACTATGGGTGGAAAGTAACCGTCAGCAGAGACCAAACAGCTGTTCTATTCAGTCTGAAGCAACATACCTGTAGCCAAGTGTTCACCTCACAGCAGTTCCTACTCTGTTGACTGGCTCCCTCAGAAAGGGTAACCAACGAGCTCATCAAATTAGGCCTCATGTCCGGCCATGACTCCTCAGAGGGGGTACAAATAATGGGCCATTGCAGCCTCTTCAAAGGCTGCAAACCTCAATTAGACTGGTCATGGATGTAAATAAAACACAAACATTTAAAATCCAGATTAAGGGAATTATTAGCTGCCTTGATGGCTGCTGTTAATTGTTGTGAGCATAAAAGTTTTAATCCTGCCTTAATCACCAAACAATTAAAAAAAAAAATAGAGAGACCAGGTGCATTGCTGATTCAGGGTGCCAGACCGTCTCTGAAGATCGCCTCGCCCCCCAACCCGAAAGCATTCCTGGTAGAAAGCAGTAAATCATAGCAATTTAGAGCTCCCTCTAGTGGCTGCTGAGCTCACTCAAGGTCGGCATGAATACTTAGCATAGATACGCACTGTTGAAACTGTGCGGAAATTCATCCATACTATACAAATTGTCTGATTGAGATGCATGCTAATCAAAACCAGCCTGTGGTAACTATGATCTGCCTTACCATACTCAGCCATTGGCACAGGGCACTAAAAGCAAGCAAGGAAACAGCTTGCCACAGGAAAAAGGTACAAACCTAGGGCAGAGTCTCACCAAGGCCAGTGTCCATGAGAAAGTGACTGGGGGAGAAGATGTTAAACCTCTGCCTTTGCTCTGTCTGGTGTCAATGCAACTGAGGACAGAATGAGACAATAGAGAACTACACAGCCTAAGCAGTTGCATGACTTTTAAATTAAAAGGCAGACTGGCCCTTTAAGACCCTCCCATGCCATGTGTGCCCCTTACCCGGGTGCAGTGCCTCAGCACAGCTGCCACCTCATCCTCCATCAGTAACTTCCGGGCCATGTCTTCAATGAGCATCAGGTGGCTCTCCGGCCCCGTGCTGTGCTCACCACCATTGTGCTGAGGGGATGATAACGATGAATCCCTCAGACCCAGAGAGATTAAAGCACGGCCTTTATCTGGGGAGGGTCAGCAAAGGAGCATCAGTACATAAGCAATACTGAGAAACAAAAACACGGTGAGGCCAAGAACCACCAAAACTACCAATGCATGCATGTGTCCTTGAGTGCAGCTGCCATGACTGTGGGCAATGCCTCGCTTTCCTCATGCACTACTCTCATAAATGTGGGCAGTGGTTAGAGTGCTGGATTTTGGTGTGCGGAACCCAGGCACAAGTCCCTGTTCAGTCTGTGAAAATCTGAATCAGCCAATCTATCACATATGGCTCTAGTTAGGTTAAAATGTCACTCTGTGCTCCTTGGATGATGACCTGGGATGGTGTCGTGGACCCCTAATGTTCTGGGCTACCCAGAATGACAGCAGCAATGCAAGATATAAATACTGGCGCGCGCACACAAACACACTTAACAAACAAACAAATAAGCTGGATTTGGACCCTTCAGCCCAGCAAATATTGTATGGTTGTCAACACACTGTGAACTTTTAAAACTATCCCATTTTCCCTCATTGAAGAAGGGCCTATTCTTATGAATACTGTACTCCGGGGGAAAGTCTAGTGTGTTTTGAATTCCAGATGTAGTAACTTGTGAGGAGGCAGTTATTAGTTTGTAACATACTAATGGTAACTCAGAAATCTCCTCCCAAGCTCTTGGACAGGAAGCAGGGTACTATCATTTTTGTGGCATGCTTTCACAGGCAGACAACTTGTGACATACGGTTGCCAAATATGTGTTGGGAAATTTGGAGATTTGGGGAGGACCCCTGGGAGGACAGACCTGATGCCCTACAGTCCACCCTCCAAAACTGCCATTTCATCCAGGGGAGATGATCTCTTTAGACTGGCGATCAGTTGTAACAAGGGGGGACCCGCGATACTCGCGGGGGAGGGGGGAGAAGAGCTCCGTCTCCTCCATCCCCCCATCTCTCCGCGGCGGCGGCGAGGCCGGTTTCCCCCCCCGCCTGCCGGCTCCGGGGAGGAGGAGGAGGCGGCGGAGGC